ACATCCCTCCGATGGCTTCCCACACGAGGGACAAGGTCACTTACTGCCAGGGAGCTATTTCGAAGCATTGTAGATCCTCGCTTCCAAGAATTTGGAGGCAGGTTTGCCACCTAACATCAACATATTGGATGTTTGGGCCGATCATGTGGGTTGGGGAAAACACTGAAACACCCCCCAACCTCCCCTGACGCCTGTGCTGCGAGCCGCCCCAGGATGGGCGAGCAGCGGCTCACTGTCTCTGACAGGGCAGCACACAACGCAGGCCGCTGGAAGTGGACCGGTCTCAAGTTCCAGGCTCGCTCGAGGTCCGGCAGGTCAGAGTCAATGATTCACAGTCGAAACAAGAAAAGGAGACACTAGAGTCACCAAAAAAGAACATCCTCTTCCGAAGTCTTCATGAAGGTCGGGACACGTCAGTGGACAAGGGGTTTTCTGCTGTTGGCACTCTGGTGCAACGTCTAATCACACCGATTGTCTCCGCAGTTGCAAGAGTTTGTGACAAATGAGCGCCACAGGTGTATGCAAGTGTAAAAAGGGGTTCGGAGCTACTAGTATGTTTCTGCTTGGAACCTCAGCTCCTGACATATCAACGCGTCCAAGCCGATCTGCCATAAAGCGGCCTCTCCAATGCCCCAGATGCATTGGCATGGGGCAACTTTCAGCAATGGCACTTAGTCGGAATCGGAGCAGTTCTTGTAGAGGCCCTTTGGTGCTCCTTCTGAATGGTCCAGGATGGCTTAATATATTGATCTGTGCCAACGCCAAGCACTACTTGCCGAGCACCGCTCTGCAACAATCTGGACACCCCCTCTCCTGTAACCATCTCAGTAATCAGCAAGCCTAATGCCTCAGTATGGCCACAAGGCGGCTCGTGTGCGGGGATCCTTTACCTGAGAAACTGATGTTCACCCCAATGGTGTCCACAACGGGTTCCAGGTTCTCAAAATTTTCAGACAAGGTTCCAGCGATCAAACTGCTTAACGGCCCACGATCTACTCTTCAGCCACCACATGACCCCACATTGACGATGAAGTTTTTGCACTGAGATCCAAGCCCAGGCGTCATCCCCTACATCGTGGGGACGTCCTGCCGGCCGTGCTTCGGAGAAACAGCGGAGCTTGAGCAACTACTCGATTCTTACATTCGATTCGGATTCTACAAACAATCTTTAAGAGTCCAAATCCATAATCCAAAGAATATTCGACTCACCCAAAGAGTCTCCCAATCCCTCTCACAGCGTTCCTGCGGCCGACTCTGGAGACATATAAGGGAGATTTAGCTTGTTGTTTGTCGCTGGCCTGGCGAGATGAGAGAACTTAAGAGCGAAATCAAAGGACGCGGTATATGTCAGTGCAAACTGGTGAAAGTTGGGTATGTATATATAATAAACAAAGGTTGAGCTGCGGCCATCTGTCTGTCAGATACAAAAAACAGCAGCAGATTGAAATCAAAACGCTAGATCGTCTGTTGTCACGAATCAAATCAAGTTTCCAACAGTGCAGTGAGTTCCAACATGTTTCTACTGTTTGGCTGAGATCGAGGCTTCTGCAAACGCTCAGCACAGCCAAAGTCAAGTAGTGTCTCGGACACCAGGTGCAGGTTTTCAGTGCAAGCACATAAAATACAATTCAGAAGGCACAGAAAACTGACCACCGCATCCATGTCATGTGGAAACTGAGTTGTGCACAACCTTGTCTTGCCTGTCAATTAGGATGTTCTCGGCCCAGACCTCAAAGCCCCACGGAAATCAAAAAAAGAACTCTCAGGTGCAAGGCCGTGTTTTTCCTGGGTAGCCAGATCCGTCGCAAACAAGCTGGACTACAGGCTTGACGCAGAGTTTATGGACGAGTTGGAATGTATAATTAAATAGCTATATATACGTTGAAATTTCTGAGTATGAAGTGTGCCTACTTTCATACGTGTTCCCTAGATGCTTCGACCATCTGTATAGTCAAAACAATAAACTTTCAAAAAATCCAATTCACTGCGTCTTTTTGGTCTGTTTCCTTGCTGACTCAGCGAATCGTGCACGGCTGATACATGGCATCAAAACTGAGCACCATTTTGTGGTATCAGGAATCAGGACCGCGCTCTTTAGATTTGGTTGCTCTGGAAGTCTTCCCTTTTGCGATAAATCGCTGCATTTGCAGCATTCAAAAAAAATTGAATTGAGGGAGGAAGGACTTTGGTTTCGACTGCTTGGTCACCACTTTGAGCCATGAAAAGGCCAACAGGACACTGGTCCATATTGTAGCAAGTCCCGAAAATGTGATTCGGGTGGTGGGCGAAACCACTGTCCACCACTGTCCTCTGTTGTCTCTGTCACTGAGTTGCGAACCTCCTGTTCAGCGACGAAGGACCGACCGACTGCCAACTGGCACATCATCTCGGGTCCCGCACATCTCGGTGCACGATGTCTGAGCGATGCAACCTGGCATGGTGCCGTTGAAGTGGGTGGAGCCCAGCAATGCATAAAGCCTTTCCTTTCTAGAGAACCACCCTCAGGATGCCCGAATGAATCAATGAACCAACAAGAGATCTCTGGGGAAGTGTAGGTCCCTTCAGCCTTCAGCTCAACTCTTTGGGAGGTAGCGCGACTCCACCTCTCCCTTGACTCTGGGTTCCTATGTGCCGCGAAAGGGCAGTAAAATGTTCACCGGATTCACCACTCCAATACCCGGGCAAAAGGCCGACACCGAATTTCGCCTGGCCAAGGCCGAGGCGAGTTGAAGAACGATCCGCTCCTGACACGAAACGCCCCGCTCATTCGAAAGCCTTGAACGGTGAAGAAAGCTGAGCGGTGTTGATAGCCGGTGTTGTCATGCGGAACGGTACAAGAAAAGGCCGGAAAAATCTGGAAAATGGCAGTTTGCAGTCTTTGCTGCCAAGATACTACTGGCCCGAGGCTGGCTTCCCTAATCCGCTTCGACAACGCTTCAGCGTGCGCCAAGTACCTTGGTTTCGATCACAATAATATACGTACAACAATATGTTCTGGGAATGTCTGGCTGAGGTCTCAAGTCTTAAGCATCAACTAGAGAGATCTAGAGAGGCTTGTCTCCAAACCAACAAATTGATTGTTTGTAAATTCAGCATCGTTAACTTCCTTTGTACTCTAAGCTACTCCAAGTGAATCTCTACTCATCCGATCATCCCTCTCCAAAACCATTAAACAAATACCTACAAACTGCTAGCCATTTCTCTCACTAACAAGTTCAACCTGAGCTGAGATACTCCATGATGATGCACAAGAAGGGCGGCTCTGCCTTCACCAGTGGCAGAGGTTCCCAGCTGGCCATCACCTCGTGCAAGCTGGTGGACGTATAAATCCTACCGGGTTGTTGATAGAGAAGGAATCTACATCAAGTGAGCATACCCTTCACGTGTCAGCTGAGCCTTAGGATCCTGAGGAAAGGAGTATGAGTAGCCGCACCGGGCACGCCGCATGGTGCTACTACAAGTGGCAATAGCATTAGTCGTCGTGTTCTTTTTTTGATATATAGTATATATATTATATATAGAGAGATTATATAGAGATTATATATTATATATATAGAGATTATATATATATAGTTGTGGTATGTTGTGGTGGTGCTTGTAGCAGCAGTAGTAGCAGCAGCAGTAGGAGTCTCTTGGGTTCTGGCATCCAGAAGATGAGCGAGATTGGGATGTTGCACTTCTCTCATCACCTGCCAAAGGCTGGCATGTCTCTCCCACTTCATGATCTTGGCATCCTTTGGCTGCTCTGAGGTCCCGCGAAACCATCGGTTGGGTCCAGGACTCGGTGCCGGCGCAGCATGACTTCAAGAAGGAGCCCCGGAGAGCCCGCCTGAACTTCTCCCCAAATGCGTTGCTCGTCGGTACCCAACGTTTTGGCCTTAAACACATCACTCGTTGCAACATCCGGCATGTCATTAGACAGGTGGGGACGGGGAAGTAAAGAAAGCTTCTTGACTTTGTTGACTTCAACACCCTAAAAGAAAAAAACACAACATTAATCAACCTGGTAAGTTGGATTAAGTTGGCATCCCGGAGGTGTTTCACCCACTTCCTTCACCTGCAAGATCCTGCAAGAAAATGCCGGCATCAAGATCCTCAAGCCTCTTTCTTGGTCCGTCGGATTAAGGGCGACGTTCTGTTGGGGCCACTGGCAGCTTTCAAAGAAATCGCTTTGACAGCCACTTCTTGGCCTGAACGATCCTGCAACTGTCATTGGGTCAAAGCTCCAACCGAAAACGGCGCCAACTATTGCCCAAACGGCATGCTCCTCCAACCTATCAAGCACCCCTTATTGCGAACATGTACAACCGAAGGCGTATTCTTCTGTGGTGCTCTTTGTTGAGATCGAAGCCGAAAGCAGAAAATAGACAAAATGGCAAAAAAGCTAGTAGGAACAAGTGCATCGCTTCTAGTAACAAGTGCCTTACTAGTAGTAACAAGAAGCTATCAGGTTTGTCACAGGTCCGTGCGGTCCTTTCCCAGCAGCACTACACTGCAGTTGCCAGAGCCGATCTCGGCTTCCACTCGGACATGGGCCTGCGGGGATCGCTTCTGTGGAATTGTGTTGGATTGTTTTCTTCGGGTGTTTATCAGATGTATTACTTTGGGCATAGCTTGGATGTCCACCAAAAACCTTGGAGTTGTCAACTTGCTGTCTTTTCTGCCTAAAGGAGCATGACTCGCAATTAACGGGTTGGAAAAAGATCGCAAACCAGCCACCCAAGGAAATCAAGTTCAGGTCCCAAAGACTCCAAAAAAGTGAATGCTCAAGATGGATTTTTGAATGGCAAAACAGGCCAAGTACCAAGAAGCTAAGAAGCCTATAAAACCGCCAAACAATTTGTAAACACGTGGGGAGAGATAAGTTGTAAGTCTCTCGTATGGTGTGTTTACAGTAGCCCTCCTGTACCATTCTTTTCCGTGCTCAGCTGCGACTTTCCTCTTCAAACGAAGCTGAAAAGCTGATGGAGTATGTTCCATCGCTGCTGTGATTGCAAAAGTCAGGACACCAAGCCTGGCGTTGCAATTTTCCTCGAGAATGCTCCAATGTTGCATACACTCGTTTCGGCCGCACCTGGACTTGCAAACAGTCTTGCCGATCGATATCCTTTGTTGATGTCCTTTCGGAGGCCCACAGGGTCGTCCGCCACACCGCATTCTTCCAGGCTCAAAGAAGGACGTGGCATTGAGTAGAGCACGTACCAATGCGCTTGCGGCTCGTGCTGCACCGCGTGGACTGGACCAGGACAGTCGCAATGCGCCAAAAGCGTGCGAAAACGGGAGACGATTGTCCAGTCTGAAAAGCTTGTCCGGATCAGTGGGACTGACCATGTCAGATGTCTGGCATCATCTGGCATCTAACCAGTGGCTGAACTCCCTGCAACATCGGCTGTCAAATCACCGAGATCGCCGGTTGGGTCCGTTGAGGATGCGTCGACCAGGGCGACTTGGCCCAAGGGCAGCGAAGCGCAGGAGATACGCTGCCCTTGCGACTCCAGGTTCACATTGACCCGCTCAGCCAAAGCCTCCACATCAAGCTGGGTTTGCACATCTTTATACTTGGCACCAACCCCTCCAAAACTAAACATAACTAAACCATACTAAACCATTTTCTTTTCTTGGGATGTAACTTTGAGAATGACTCCTCCAAGTTGTGAATGGACATTATATCTTTAACAGAATTCATCAAATTATATCAAATCCATCAGAACCAATCACAGCATCAGAGTGTATATGAGTGTATTACAGTACTCATTACATGACATTTCACTTGTAAGATCTTGTAAGGCACCAGTCTGCTCAAGCGCAGTTCACTGGACCAGGAATCCACCCCCAAACGTCACGCCTCATTGGGTGATGGCTCCATGGGAGCAAACGCCATTTGGCTTCGCTGCATCCGAACCTCGAGTCCTTGAGACTCAGCTTGTTGGCCATAGAAGCGGCTGTAGGGCAAATGGAAAAGGACCTTAGCTACTAGTAGTAATGCCGCAATGCCCTTTACTAGGAGAGAGGAGCTACTACTAGTACTGTCTTTTGTTACTAGTAGCAACGCCCCTGCTACTAGTAGCTTCTAGCTACTAGTAGACCATGGACACTGGAAGAGCTGTTTGACAATTTTGCACATCCGCGGTTTGTTCCGTTTGTCGCGCCTCGAAAATTGGAAACAAATTTGTGTCACTCTTGCGCAACCCTTGGTGTTTACTTGGTGGGACCGCTGGGTTGTAGGTCTCGTGTAGCTCACACATGGAAGGCAAGGGACCGCAGAAATATGCTGAGAGGCACTGCTCAAATAGTCTGCAGGTGTCGTCGCCCGCGGCTCTTGTACGCATACGGTGTATCTGGGAAGTCCCTGTGCAGTACTACTGACGTGGCCAACCAGTTCCTCCCGAGGCTGCCAAACGGAGGTTTCTGGACAATAGACTTCTGCTGGGGCTGAGAGGGAGGAACGAAGCTCCACGCGGAAGAGGATGTCAAAAGCAGCTGGGACATCCACTCCTGTTCGCATAACTATGGAGATCGTAAATGCGTCTTCCTGATGAGCCAGGCCATCCACAATGTAAAAGCACATGTCAGTTATAAGATATTTAAAGATTTTATATAGGTTGAAAGGACTGAAATGCAGCTCAGCTGCTCTGCGAAGGCTAAATTCCAGGAATGCAGGGCAAACCGCGAAGGTCTTCAGGCCAGCATGCCCTGAAAAATCCACAGCAAAGTCTTGATTCTCACCTGCAAGGCGAAGCAGCAGCGTGGCGGTCGATCAAATTTATTTCATGATGGAGTAATGGCTATTCTTCGCGGAAAAAAGGATATCTTTCGTCTTTCGCGGATCTTTCGCGGCCTCATCGCGAAGCAGGGTCTTAAAACCATGTCTAGTTAACATGTGTTGGAACGATGTTTTAATATGAACAAATAATGACTGGCATCTTGCAGCATGACCTACACACAAGCTTGAGAGTTGCTACAGCTACTCTAGGGTCACTTCCAGCATCTGTGCGACAAACCTTGAAGGATGGTCCTGGCGGAGGCAACCCTCGTGCCAGCTACCAACACAGGGTAATGCAGTGCTTCGGTTAAAGGGATGGCTCCATCCGCACCAATCTACACGACAAGTCATGGCTGATTTGGATACTCCCTCAAAAGAACCCGACTGCAACCTGATACTGCGTCTGTGTTGACCCACGGCTCTCCCCAGAAAATTCACCATCCCTGCAGACCAGGATTGGTTCTCAACATACAAATACGTCGCTTGAAAGGGGAGCAAAGGTAAATTCTTGAACCTGCGACCTGCGAACTTGCCAAGTGTCTATCTATCCTTCAATGTTAGTTCCGCCTAGCTGGACTGCCATGATCTTAGAGCACTGACTTTGTCATAATTTGATGGTGATGTTGGCAGCGTGTATCCTCTGTTCGCCTTTCGTCGTGGACCCGCATTAACCCCATGGCACAAGTAGATTGAACGCGTTCATACACACCATGTTCTCCAAATCTGATGCACTCTTACTGAATGGGAAATCTAGAGCTCTCATTATACCTCTTATTTGACCTTTTCGCAGTTGCCATTGTGTGAGTAGCTGAGATCCCAACCCTCATACATAGTGGCCATCCATCCGTCATCCGAGTCATCCGTATCAGTGCCGGTTGTATTGGAATTCATCAGAGTGAAAGCAACTTCGAAGGGTGGCTTCAACTCACTTTCCCCAAACAATGATCTCCAATATATCTGAAGACGAGCTCCTGAACTCTCCTGAGACTCGCACTCACTGGCACTTGGGTGAGTAGCAAGACCCGTCAGTGAGTCACCTTTGGAAAGAGGGCCAAAGCCACTGGCCAGTAACAAAGTCCAAAGCAACTGACCAAAGACAAACGCTAGGTCACTAGGCAAACCCTTCGTTTTCAGTTTTTTAATCCAGATTGGGGAGATATGCATTGAAAAATCTGCGACTAAGGGTCCGTTTCTTGCAAAGTTCTGCATCGCGCAGTTGTTGGCAGAGTCCCACGCGGACGAAAGTCTTCACAAGAGACACCAAAACCTCGGGGCAGTTGCAGCTCCAGGGATCCTTAGCATCGGGGCAGGTGGCTGGGCAGGCGGCTGTGGAGGCTGCGCAGCTGCTGTAAGAGTGGCAGGGGCTGATCCCTCCAAGTGTGCACCAAAAATCATGCAATTCAACTTTTTGGACAGTACAAATGCTTGGTTGAACATGATTCAAGCGGTATGGTACAGTGCTGCAAACTCTCAATCAAGATTGTATTGAGAATATGATAAAGTATCAACGTGATGATGGCTTGGTCCAAGAGCACCGGCGAGTCAGTGTTCTCAAAAGGGCTTGTAAACTTGTAAACCAAGGATCCCCGCTGTCCCTGCAGGCCGCTTGCAGAAAAGATCTTCAACACTGCTCGGTGCGTCACATTGGCTGCATAAGATCCAGGAATTACAGCACCAAGCAACTGAGACCGTGAGGACCGAAAGGACGTCTCATGGACACGCTGGTCGTTGAAGATGGTACTTGCTGCATAAGTGCGCGTCTGGGATATTGGATTCAGGGTGTATATCCAGAAGTAATAATTGGTCTTGGCGAGGAAGACCCGTGCAAACATATAGTCCGCACGAGCTCCATCGGCATCCACCAAACAGTCATCTGGCATGAGCAAAATCGATGTTATCTTCGGAAGGCTCGTCCCTGGCTTCAAAACATCGACCTGATTCAGTGGCCAGGTTTCAGAAGGCAAGGGCAGAATGTCATGTTCTTATCCAATAGATTGAGATATTTTAACTATTCTCAAGGTAGTGTTTCGGGGAACAACGAAGAAAGCAAAAGTGTCCAAACAAAGGCTAGTTGACTATGCAGCTTTGCGCATCAAAACTGTTGGCTTCCGCAACCAGGCGCAGTTGGACAGAATCCGCCGAGCTTGGAAAAGGGGTACGTAATCTGAACTGGATCATGGATGGAGTCAAGATCTCTGGAACAGAAGACATGCTGAGAAGTCCGAATGACTCAAACTCGCCGTAGACTTGGTATCCTTCGCTGGTTCCAATGGAGTGGATTTCTTGCAGTTCAGGCAGGTATGTCTGCAGGATGAAGTGGTTGGATTCAGGACTCAAAATCGGGTTCACCATCGGAAAGCTGATGGCATAGTTGACTCCAGTGGACAAACTCTGTACTGTGATAAACAACACCTTGGCTGCGAATGCACGTGCAAGTGCAATGGCAGTTGGTTTCGTCGTTTCGAGTATCAACCTGGAGAATCTCAGAACATGTTGAACAATTGTAGAAGCAACAGCTCTGGCTTGGAGACCATGATTTTGGATCCCAAATGGCCGAGATGCGGCGTTGGTCATGTTCAGACGGGTCGATGATGCATGCTGAAAAAGACCGCCTGGCTCAACTTCTTGTGGCTCCGAAACCATGGCTGGAAGCTGAATGTATAAAAGCGCACCAGCTGGCAGCCCTGCTGTGAGTGCAAAGGTGAGGACCATCTTTGAGAATAATGAGCCAGCTCGCTGAGAAGACACATCCACATCCAATGAAGCTGAATACGCCACCTGAGAAGACGAGTCCGTCACTTGATGAGAAAACCCTTCCTTACAAGCGTTCAATAGGTTTTAGGTCTGGACATCAGGATCTGGTCCGGTACAAGAAGGCTGAGGTCTTTACTCGAAAAACTAGAGGCGGCTTCCACAGCGTTTCGCCATGATGAACCACCCCACACTTCAGCCAAGCAACGGAAAAGCCTTGCAAGGTCACTGCAGAAGTCGCTTGCAAATCCTTGTCGCGGAGGATCACGCGCCAAAAGTTCTGTGCGCTCAGTGGGCTACTTGCATACAACCTTAGCTTGAACAGGAGGCCATAAACACAAACGCAAATGTCCACTCTGAACACTTATATAATCCACTTGAGCTTCCTTTCATTTCATTCTTTGGCCCTTAAGTCTCGTGTTGTGACCTTTCAGCCGTTTCTCTCTTCCATTTTGGATATTTTGGAGATAATGAGTTGGGGTGCATCCAAGAAGCTCCATGGTTAAGATGGTGACCTTGCTGGCTCCAACAATTTCAACTACAAATGCTGTTTGTCTCCGGTTATATATTTAGGTTTTGAACTTTTGTAGCCTTCAAACCCTTCACACACGAACGCTTGCAAGAGTGTCTAAGGTAAGCCCCTTTTGGCTGCCCAGGCATTGTTTGCTTGTTTCGAACACCAGGGCAATAACAAAAAACGTATCAAAAGCCTCAGAAAATGTCAAATCAAGGCTGATCGACTTCATCCATCCCAAAAAATCGCCAGACTGGCTCTGGAGATGCATCGCTTTGAGGAGCTTTCAAGCACACCGGGCTGCATGTGTCCACAAAGAGGCCCACTGGCAAAGAAACATCCAAAACGTCTGTAAATGATGCCTCATGGCAAGTGCAACAGTGGACACCCAGTGCCTGGCCAGTGCTAGTCACTATATAGTCGAATTGCCATGAGTAAGTGACACCACCCACGTTCATGTTCTGATGCATGGGGGTTTGATTACCCAAGTGTGCCACATGTTGCGGAAAAGAAAGGAGAGCACACTGCATTTTCCAATTTGGCGGTTTCAGGATCGAGCGGACTACATAAACGACAAATTGCAGCTTGAAAGCCGGTTGCTAGCTTGCAATGTCCTACAATCAATCTTGCGGGAGCCTCACAACTATCCTATCCCCCAAAACCAGAAGTGGTACAATAGCAAACAGTATAGACATAATGTATCATATAGATGTATATTAGACTAAGTAAAATCAGGACCACCTTTGCCTGTTTTTCTAGAAACCCGCCGCCTCTGGGGCGGGCCAACTCCACCGATCATCAACTCCAACACTCGGCGTTTCACTGAACCGATGTCACCGGGTTGCGTTGGGGATCTCTAGCTGCAGCTGGGCAAAGAAGCCATCCAGAATGGGTGTCGTGGCCTCGGGGTCTGCAAGGCATGGAAGGTTTGAGGGATTTTTGGACTTGTCGGTTTTTGATCCGCAGGAGATCCCATTTTTATTGGCCGTTCCTTTTTGCAAACATATGCTACATGCAGGATTGGTGGGACAAGAGCCAAGCCAAAGTCAAAACATAAACATATCGTATCACTGACTGAAATCTCAACCCAGCTGCTGTGATGGATAGCTGCAAAAGCGGCAGAATTGGCAAGGACGCCCTGGACAAATCATAAAACTGGCTGTGCCAAAAGCAAGTGCAAGCATTAAGTCGTTTGAAGCATTTCAGTCTGACAGCACCCTCTGCAGGCTTCAAAAACCTCGGCAAAATCAACTCTGAATGCCAGGTCAACGCCAGGTGACACATAGCTTGCCGCTTGCAAAATGAATCTTGACTCTCCAAGCTGTCCCAGGAGTTCCAGGTCAAGGCCAGGCATGGCACTGGGTGCCAGGATTGCTGGAAGCGAAATCGCCACCTGCTGAAAGGGCAGGAACAAGTCTCGGCTGCTCTGAAGAGTCACACCTGAGTTCTGCTCCGGCGATATGCGCAGACCCAAAAGAACCCATTCTGTTCTCCTGTCCGAAGAATCAGGGTTTTATGGGCAGAAACAGCAACAAGTCACGTTCACAAGGCGCCTCTAGCCATCCGATCACTTTGAGAGGGAGCTTGAGGGCCAAGTCACATGTACAGCCTGGAATTATGCTGCATGAGACAGTGGCATCTTCTGGAGACCTTGCGATTTCGAAAGGTCGCTTCAATGAATGACAGCCGTAGGTGGAATGTCTACCTACGCCACATCCTTGAATACTTCAGAACTTGCCGCTGATCAAGACCAAGCGACACCACGTTGCAGGGCAAAGTGCCATTCGTGGCCCCGAAATCCACCCCAGCAAAGCAAAGCCGAGCAAATAGGGACAGCTGGTTCGATGAGAGCAATAACGAGCTGAAAGCCAGACGAAGTACCTGAAGAAGAGTCGTTTGTTGCAACGGGGCCTTGTAGGGGTCCACCTACATTGTCCTGATTGGGGTTCTGAAAAGAGTGAACACATCTCAGAGTTGACAAGGTACCAACTGAGCTGGATCTGCACTCGGCAGTCTCGATGGATAACACAATGATAAATGTGCCGCACGTTGTACCACAGGCGCCATGCCAGACAATGATTGTGAGCTTTGACCCAGAAGGGGCGCTATCTCCAGCGTGTAGCCATCTGCATCTTTAGTCACCTTACGGTGTTTGGCATATCTTGGTACAGAGCGCCATATAAGCTGGAGGAATCCCAAGAAAAGCGTGTGGAAAGTGCAAACAGCATAAACAGCTTCCAATTTGATCAGTGGCCAGCTGTACCGGGAATTCTGGTACGGTGCGACCATCAGGAACGAGGCCCTCAAAGTCCAAGCAGTAGCTTCCTGGGCTTAAGGTCTCAGCTACCTGGCAGGTTGCAGGAATCATGGAGATAAATTGTAGTGCAAATGTATTTGTGTGTAGTCCCACGTCAATGTACTTCATCGCTGATTTTATTAACGCCCCAAGAAATCCAAATATATAACTCTACTTGAAGGCAGCATGCAGTTGCAGAACACAAAACGATGAGAATCATGGAGAGTAGACATTCGCCAGGTATTCAAAGGTGCAAAGAAAAAGACTGAACAAAACGTTGGCACAATCTTCCCAAATCTTGGCTGTTCCAATTTTGTTGACCAAAGTTCATGTCTCTTGCTCTGTTTTGCTGGCGCCTGGACACGCAAACGTGTCGCCTCTGGAACTTGGCAGCCTTGGGATGGCCGATTACTGAGAAAATAGTCATCTCATGTCATCAAAATAAACCCAGGTATCGGGACGGTCTACTTGTCTCCACAAACCTGCAGCACATAGTTACTTTCGGATACTTCAGATTCGCTCCGCTTGCTCTGTTCAGTCCCAAATTATATAGTCCCTCTTGGGTGAAAAAATCCTTCCTTCAGCCAAGAAGCTGAAGATCAAAGGTCTGGAGCAGGTAAGGCTGCCCTCAGTGCATCCTTGTGGTATCACCGTCGCATCAGCATGAGAGCTGGATTCCAGCTGCTGCAACGTCTGAAAGTCTTCGCCGAGACTGGAACCTGGGTGCCAGGCACATGGGCAGGTGGACATCTGGTCTACCCTACAAGTTTACCTGGTCATGAAGCACCAACCGGGCCTTCTCCAGCCATGCCAAAGTGAAAGAAACATGGAAAAGAAACTGAAGAGAAATCCAGGAACAGGGCTTCTCCGGGACAAAGACAAAAGCAGAACCTGGCAATGACAGTTCAATATAACCGCCTGATGGTATAGTCTTTGAGGTTCTCAGATTCAATACGGCCGACTGCAGGACCTTGCCAAGTGCACTGCCCGGGAAACATCAAACAAATCATCTGAAAGGAACAGCATGCCGCGCAAACATGAGCATTCAGTCTGCATCCTTGAGATGGTAGCCCTCAAGATCAGAAGTGACGAGTTGCCAAAAAGGTACTCTACTGTGAGAGGTTTGAGACATGAGGATGACAGTAGCTTAGCTAGGCTGCATTTTTCCCACCAACCCTACTATACCCATTACTGGCCCGTCACCATGGGTGTTGTACCCTTTTGTACGTCTGTGTGCATGCAACTCAGGCAAATGTTGCATGTTCTTGGCACAGGCCATGTTTCAGCTCAATGTCTATTTGACAAGTGCATTCAAGATTAGCAAGCGCATCAAGTTTCTTACCTGACAGCCGGAATAAGAACAGCCAAGCCACAGGTTCCGCGCGGAATGTGTTCAAGGGAGATTGTATTCTCACCAAAGGTGTTTGGATAATCGGACTAGCCAGCGTTTGGAGCTCCTCTTGAACACTTCCGTAGAAGGTGAGCGACCAAGGACTTTCGCTTGCCTTCCATGTTGGCATTCGGACTTTTAGTGTGATCAATGAGACGTCAGCTCCAACGGACAGTGTAGCAACAGCCCTGCTGCCTTGGCTTGAGGCTATTTCGGAGCTGACACAGTTTCCGGACTCTTCAAAGGCATCTTGGAGAACGACACCACAGGTGAAAGGTGTTTGAGATTGGGTTGGAAGGCTAGGCTAGGTCTGCTAAGCCTGCCACCTAGAAAAGTATATAACTATATAGCTAGTTGTATTCCTTCCATGCCTTCGACAGCCCTGTCGCCCAATCAGTCCAGGGTGCCAACATAGGTCACCATCGACTCTCTGACACAGAACGAAAAGCCAGTGCATCGCTAGTAGTAACAAGTGCCTTACTAGTAGTAACACATTAGAATTAAGTTAATTCTAAAGTAATTCTAATTTAAATTAATATCGATCAAGGTGCCAACGCAGGTCACCATCGACTCTCTGACACAGTTGTAAGGGAACGAAAAACCATCAGAGGCTTGTACCACCAGCGTCATTGGCCCTTGAGGAAGATGTGCCAGGCTGATAGGGTATGCCGTCGTCAAGGTTGGAGTCCCAGACCTGTCTTGGTCGTACCTTGCGTACTTGCATGCCTGTGCTCAAACTACTTCGGCTTTCAACTTAATCAGGTTAACTCGCCGGTCGGCCACGAAACATGTCCGAGAGACACGGCTGGCAGGGCCACGTCTGGAAGAAGTCCTGACGAGTCCCATAAATCCACTGCACAGCTCTCCTTGACCACCTCAGTCACATGCGAACACATTGGAAAAACAAAATGGTTATTGTTTTTCCAGGATTTTCCAGGTCTCTTCTATTAGGTCTCTTCTTCTTTAACCAATTTTAGAGTTGGTATTGAAGGCGCGATGCGATGCAAGATAGCAAAAATGCCGCTTAACTGTGATATTAGCTATGATTTTCGGTCATGTGCTTGTCCCAATGGAAGCGGAAAATATTTGCTCGTTGATGTTGTCCAATTGTCTGATGGAAAGTCAATGTTGCCAAGCGACTCCTTCGGAGGTCAACGTTTGAAGCGACCAATAACGGCCACGAACTTGATCCAACTTCGGAGATAGCACACGAAGTCGAAAAGCATAGACAAGGTTGGGCAGTAAGGGAGAGCTTCCCAATTCGATGTCTAGGACCTCGGTTTTAAAAATAATCCTCTAGGGATACCTGAACCGAACATGCAACACATGCAACTCTATATGCAACTTCGTGTCTCTGGACTTGGTGGGCAAAACAAAGCATCAAAATATTCAAAATGATCTGTCGCATACTGTCGCTGTCGAAACACCGTTCTCTGGGTCACACTGCAGACCAACTGGTTGAGCTCTGGAAGTGGTCCATAGCTCCGTGGAAACTGCAACGAAGGAAGTTGAGGATTCTCTGGATCCGCATACCTCCGAAGGTAGCACTTCCACAAATTCAAGTCCCAGTTTTTTAAGCCAAAAAGCCGTGCAAACAAGGTTTAAGCTTTGCCTAAACGATCCACATGAGGAAAGCAGACTGAAAGTCAAATCCAAAGAATCCGTTGGAGAAAGCTTGAGCAGGAAGTCTCGTCCGGAAGTTGGAAGCCGTTTGGAAGTGCTATTCGAAGCTTTGATGGTGCATCCTGAGATGGCTCAACAACACAAGCAAGCGAGGTGATATTGTCAGCATTGGTCAGCTGTAGTGCAGTAATAAATAATGTTTTTCTCTGCACCAAAGAAAAGCAAAGCCGGATAAGCCGGGATCTCCCAGGACTCGTTGCTTCCAAACGTCTGCTTGACGCCAGGATTGAAGACCAAGAGGCTCTGACAGTTGAAAGGTCAAAGAGACCCATGTCTCCTGGGCACTGCGAGGCTGCGAGGCTTTTGCGATCACAGATTACAGTGTGTCACACAGGCTGACATTTTCAGGTGGCTCCCTCACCCGAAACGGTTGGATTGATATTAAGACTAGGTCAGAATGGTAATTAGTTAAGAAGTAGAATTGGGATGGAGGCCATCCCTAGTAGGTTGGAGGCCATCGCTAGTAGGGAGGCCATCGCTATTAGGTTGGATGCCATCGTCGGATCATTCAAAGGTTCAAAGCCGCGAAGTCGATTTGAAGTTCGGGCCAAGCAATGCTTCAGGAACCCGATGACATCGTAGCCTCAGCACAAAGATGCGCAAAGCAGTCGAAACACACTGACATGCTCACCACAAATGAGCCTTGACCAAACAGATTCATAGGACACTGCAGGTATCCTTGTGGTTCGCGTGTCGAGTTCCAAGGACACATTGCATATAACATACTGTAGTTTTGTTGGACGTTGGCATCGGCATCATTTTCCAAGAGAAACGGAAATATACTGATATACTCAAATCACTGTCTTGGATGAAACGCCCATGAAATGAAGTACTGTAAATGAATTGAATGACAATCATATTGTCATATTGGCCCATGCTGCAGGAACTGCGCTGTACAGCTTGATCGGGTGACATGCTGCTTTCTACCTACAGTTGACCAGCGTTGCAGTCCCAAGAAGCCTTTTTTGACGCCCGTGTCTCTTCGGCTTTCACCACGGGAGAATGCTGTGTGCTTGTAGAGGCTCTCCAGCTGCCAATAGTTCATATCCATATCAACACTACTCCATGCCTCGACCAAGATTTGCTTTGGATCTGTGACAACATCTCTCTGTAGTCCATTTGTTACTAGTAGCTTCTTGCTCCTAGTAGTAAGGCCAGGAGCCCCTAGTAGCGTCCTTGCTCCTAGTAGCGATGCCCTTTGTTACTATTAGCATGTCAATGGTTCTCCATACATGTCATGCCCAAAATGTGCTTTCCAAGCCCAAATGATGGCCAAAAACTCCGCTGCTATGCGTTCCCTGCTCCCGACCTCCGGGTTGGTGACGTTCGCCACCAGCACATAATTAATGTCCGCCAAGGCGATCCCAAGAATGTCCACGCGGAGCATCCACGGTGCAAAGGCAGGGACCTGCACCCACAGAGCAAACGAAGCAGTGGATAACCTCTGAAGTTGTTAGACATACTTAGGCCAAATACAGTGCCAAACCTCACCAAATCCCTCTTCCCATCGTTTCTGGCAACCCCAAGTCGGTTTCGTCCAGAACTCCAAGCAGAAGTAGCCGTGTGTGAGGAAAGTAAAGGACTTGGAGCGATGGAGCCTGAAGCCTGATCTTCTTGCCCTTAACATACCAAAGCGCACGTACACATGAATCGACTAACTTGGCAAGGTCCCAACTTCAAGAGCCAGGAAGAGTCGGTTCCCATCTGAAACAAACGAAAGGCACCCGAGAAAGTCAAAGGGGTTCACTCTTGTGCAGGTGTTTGCCTCTGGTAGTCCAGCTGGAAAAGCGGTAGCAGCCACTTGCGTGGAGGGGTCATACAGCACTGGCTGCCAACGGAAAGCCTTGAAAGGAAAGGGAAGCACTTTGGATTGACAAGTAGTCGGAATACACATTCTAATTTCTATTATACTCTATTGATGTATACATATACCGGTTTTGAGCCTGCTTTTCAGCAACAGCAAATGAAATATATAATTGTCAGGCCTGACAATGTGAACATCAAAAGGTGGAGAACTACTGTAATTAGGAATCAGTTCAAGAGGAGTGGTAGAAGACAAATATATATATATATATTCAATATAAATCAAACAGCTCCATACCTCAAGCTGCAAGGCAAGGAGCAGAAGGTGCTGTCAGAACCAAAACATCTCCGAGGCTCAATGGCGTTGACAAAGTGAACCTCGATTTAGGGGGTCTCTAAGGCCAAAGCCCCCCCAAGCGGTAAATCAAGGCAGTATACCAGTATACCTCATCCCAACGGCACTACTCACCAATCTGGCGTTTTTTGCCAGAAAACTCGATTGGACGAGAGTTGGTCACCAAGCAACTCGATTTGAAGTCTAGTGCTCCGACCAGCTGCAGCGTCTTCAGCAAGGATGGCATGGATCAAAATTGGTTTCTCCTTGGAACAAAACCAGTGGCATGTCAAAAGGCAGAGTTATGAGTCATGACAAACGGTTTGTCTATATGATCTATAATATACAAGTAGTTCCCGGGCAAGCCGGCGGCGGAAGTTTCATATAAGAACAAATTGACCTATAGGAGTGTCCACGTTCTCTCTAACATGCGCGTCCTCCAGTCAAACGCACGCGCTCCGGATCAGCAGCTCACAGCAGCGTACTGGGTTGTACCTTTGCCACGACAAGAGGGGTGTATGACGAGTGGTGTATGATGAGTGGTGTATTGACCAGCAGTTGAATGTCCTGTCCTGCATAAATGCAACCAAATGCTATCAGTATGAACTGTGCCAAACCTGCGCGCCGCGAGAGATGACTCAGCAGCGAGAGATGACTCAGCCGCGAGAGATGGCTATAGCGAGAGCTGACTCAGCAGCGAGAGATAAATGAGCAGCGAGAGATGACTCAGTCGCGAGAGATGACTCACAGCAGCGAGAGCTGACTCAGCAGCGAGAGATGACTCCTCCGCGTACTACACTTGTACTACAAAGTGGCCAGTTCTCAGCTTCCAGCTCCACAGGTTGTTCCGCGTGCTAAAGTTGTACTAGAAAGTCGCCAGTCAGTTCTCATCTTCCAGTTCCCCAGATGCTCCGCGTACTGCAGTTGTACTACACAGTCGCCAGTTCTCAGCTTCTAGCTGCACAGATTGCTCCGCGTACTAAAGTTGTACTACAAAGTCGGCAGTTCTCAGCTTCCAGCTCTACAGATTGCTCCGCGTACTAAAGTTGTACTTGAAAGTCGCCAGTTCTCAGCTTCCAGCTCTACAGATTGCTCCCCGTACTAAAGTTGTACTAGAAAGTCGCCAGTTCTCAGCTTCCAGCTCTACAGATTGCTCCGCGTACTAAAGTTGTACTACACAGTCGCCAGTTCTGAGCTTCCAGCTCTACAGATTGTTCCGCGTACTAAAGTTGTACTAGAAAGTCGGCAGTTCTCAGCTGCCAGCTCTACAGATTGCTCCGCGTACTAAAGTTGTACTTGAAAGTCGCCAGTTCTCAGCTTCCAGCTCCACAGATACTCCGCGTACTAAAGTTGTACTACAAAGTCGCCAGTTCTCATCGTCCAGCTCGCCAGATACTCCGCATACTAAAGTTGTACTACAAAGTCGCCAGTTCTCAGCTTCCAGCTCCCCAGATGCTGTGCCTGCCACCAAATCTGCCCATGGAGGTTCACAAAGTGCTGCGCCTGCCACGAAATCTGCACCTCGACGCTCACAAAGTGCTGTGCCTGCGAAGAAATCTGCACATGGAGGTTCACAAAGTGCTGCACCTGCCACGAAATCTGCACATGGAGGTTCACCAAGCGCTGCACCTGCCACGAAATCTGCACCTGGAGGTTCACAAAGTGTTGTGCCTGCCACGAAATCTGCACATGGAGGTTCACAAAGTGCTGCACCTGCGACGAAATCTGCACATGGAGGTGCACAAAGTGCTGTGCCTGCGCAGAAATCTGCACATGGAGGTTCACAAAGTGCTGCACCTGCCACGACATCTGCACATGGAGGTTCACAAAGTGCTGCACCTGCCGCGAAATCTGCACATGGAGGTACACAAAGTGCTGCGCCTGCCACGAAATCTGCACATGGAGGTTCGCAAAGTGCTGTGCCTGCCAGGAAATCTGCACATGGAGGTACACAAAGTGCTGCACCTGCCACGAAATCTGCACATGGAGGTTCACAAAGTGCTGCACCTGCCACGAAATCTTCACTTCAAGAAACAAGTGAAAACTCTAACCCCAATGGACGGACGATTCCGAGAATGATCCGAGAATGATCCGAGACCGTCTCGCACCCGTCGTTCCGCAGACCTTGACTTGCCAGCTTCGGAGCCACCGGTTCCATTGAAAAATACAGCATTTCCTGCCTTCGCTATCTCTCCACAACGCATTTTGTATTGCGCCTGCCACGAAATCTGCACATGGAGGTTCCCAAAGTGCTGTGCCTGCCAGGAAATCTGCGCATGGAGGTACACAAAGTGCTGCGCCTGCCACGAAATCTGCACGTGGAGGTTCACAAAGTGCTGTGCCTGCCAGGAAATCTGCACATGGAGGTACACAAAGTGCTGCACCTGCCACGAAATCTGCACATGGAGGTTCACAAAGTGCTGCACCTGCCACGAAATGCGCACTTCAAGAAACAAGTGAAAACTCTAATCCCAATGGACGGACGATTCCGAGCATGATCCGAGAATGATCCGAGACCGTCTCGCACCCGTCGTTCCGCAGACCTTGACTTGCCAGCTTCGGGGCCACCGGTTCCATTGAAAAATACAGCATTTCGTGCGTTCGCTATCTCTCCACAACGCATTTTGTATTGCGCCTGCCACGACATCTGCACATGGAGGTGCACAAAGTGCTGTGCCTGCCACGAAATCTGCACATGGAGGTTCACAAAGTGCTGCACCTGCCACGAAATCTGCACATGGAGGTTCACAAAATGCTGCACCTGCCACGAAATCTGCACATGGAGGTTCACAACGTGCTGCACCTGCCACGAAATCTGCACATGGAGCTGGAGTTGCCTGGAGCTTGAGCTGTTGAAACCAGAGCTGGTGTATGAGCGGTGTATGATGACTGGTGTATGATGAGTGGTGTGTGATCAGTCGTGTATGATGAGTGGTGTATGATGAGTAGTGTATGATGAGTGGTGTCTGAGGAGTGGTGTATGATGAGTGGTGTATGATGAGTGGTGTATGATGAGTGGTGTATGATGAGTGGTGAATGATGAGTGGTGTATGATGAGTGGTGTATGCTGACTGGTGTATGATGAGTGGTGTATGATGAGTGGTGTATGATGAGTGGTG